TATTTGAGGTGAAAAAAATATAAATAAACAAAAATACATTTAAAACTCTTTTTTTCCAAGTTTATATTTGTAGCCAACTTTAGGCTGCATTTATTGAGTATTTTCATTTACATTTATTGAGTAATAGTAATTTGTAGGACATTTTATTCTCTTTCAGAATATCACCTTCCACTTTGGTCGATTTCTTCACCATTTCAAAGTTATTTGCAAAAACATTAAGCAACCTCCCAAATTATAGTGGCGAGAAAATACTGAATTAAAAACTCTGTACAATTAAATCTACAGTTCTACTGAACCAATTTTATTAATTAATAGGTCATTGGAAAGCCTAATTTGTGTAGATTTGCAAATAATTATGAAAAGTTTGATTTTTTAAGATTTAATAGGTGAAACCCGTCAAAACCGACAGTTACTGATCAGGTTGCAAGCAAGATCGTTTGACTATAAATCGATGATATATAACTCCATTTTTTGAACAATTTGTGTTGTTCGTGATTGTTTTATGTACGTCCGATCCTAATAATCAATAAATCAAATGGAAGCTGGTATTTCACTGAAGGTTCCTAGGTCAAAATAAAAATAGAATAACGTAATTAGAATTAAGTAAATATATCTCAAACTAAATTCCATATCCAAGATATGATCAAAATTGTATTTTCTGATTGAGCGATACAGTAGGCCTATCTTAAACTTTACTGATTAAAACTATCAATATCTCAAGTGAAAGCTTTTGAAGTATTTTAAGACCAAGACTTATGAAACAACATAAATAAAAATTGAGTTATGTATCATTGATTGCAGATAAGTAGGCCTACTAAAACGATCGTAATTATTGTTGATTCGTGATTCAGCAGTGTGATAGTCCGATCTTAATAATCAATAGCTCAAATGAAAGCTGGTATTTCAATTAAGGTTTTTAGACCAAAACATATAGGGTAATGTAATTATAACTGCTAAAATACATCTTTAATTGAAGTGAAAAAAATCAAATTTAAATTCTTTTGTCAAGTAATACATTAGATAAATTATTAATGATGATGCCTGATGTGCCTGATGGTGCCTGATGAATGGATTTGTATATGTGCTTGCATAGCTTTATTTTAAGACCAAAATTATCAAAATCGGGCGGGTAGAAGAGCCAAACAAATTCGAAAAAAAAAACAAATTTAACTCCCATAAGGAATTTACAGGGAGGCAGTTTTGTGAATGGCTCGAAATATAAGTCAAAAAGAATGCCGATGCTTGATGGCAAATCTGTGCTGCGTCCATACCTTTAGTTTAAGGACAATATTATGAAATTGTACGGGTAGAAGAGCTAACCCGACTCGGAATAGAAAAAAACAAAAAAACAATAATTTTTATTGATGGCGATAATTGGTTTACCTTTGTTATCGATTTTTCTTTGATTATATGTTGTTGTAAACAAATTGCATTTTCGTTTAAAGTGTGTTCCTTATGTTAAGTGTGTGATTCTAATGTTATGTGCTTAATCTGTACCATTAATATTAGTGAGTAAAGTGGTGTAGGCCTACGTATTTCATAACCATTATTTTACTAGAGACCGTTGTATTTAACCACAACGGGCACTGTTGCTAGTGACATACTAATATGAATTCCTTTATTTAATGGCAGATATTTTTAATATCGCACTTTACTTAAAAATTTCTTATGAGATATTTAGGAAAAAGTGGCTTTTTGGTTAAATTATTCCATTAAGTATTTTCAAAATTAAAAAAGCCACAAAAAATGGGAGTTCAAATTTTTTTGGAATATCCCTGTATTTTATAACCAATCGTATTTTTTCTATGAGCTACATCATGCAGAATGTTCACAAAAAGCTACTCTTTTCCAAATGTAACACGCTTCAACTCCTAAAAAGTAGCTTTATAGAAAATGCAACTACTAAAAACGTTTTAATCTTACTAATATTATAAACGTGAAAGTTTGTGTGTTTGTTTGTTTGAAGCTCAATCACGCATTAACCACTGGACGGATTGGGCTGAAATTTGGCATGATGATAGGTTACATTCCCGAATAACATATAGGCCCTAGGCATATTCTTATCTCAAAAATCCTTTCGGGCTCCGCCCCAGTGGCTCTGTAGTTCCCCGTGTTAACCTTATGAGTATTCATGAGAATTAAAGAATTTAGTCAGCTGTTTCAACAGAAAAAGTTGGTTCTATGATTTGCAAAAGCATTAAAAAGTTATAATATTTACCAACAGGGTGCAGCACTATTATTTTTTTGCATTTATGAAAACAGCTAATTTGAACTGAGCAGTAGTAAAAAACTGTGATAAGCAATGAGCACTGTCAAAGTAGGATTGTTTACAGTTATGTTTTTTTTTTTATTTCATGAATAATTAGTGATATTTAGCAATTTATAATTTGTTTTTATCAATTGTTTAGGTGAAGTGGTAGAACATTATGACTATTGTAGATGTGTCATACTATAGTATACTGTAAATTTAAAGAAGGAAATTTTATCAAACTGTGGCCTCCCCTAGTGCAAACGCAAAGCTTGAGTATAACTGGAATAATCATTTTATACTTATATGCCAACCCCGTACGAAGGACAGGTATGACTTCTAGTCATCTATATAAATAAAATTGGAGTTTTGTCTGTACATTGCTCAGGATCATAAACTTTTAGGTTATTTTTACGTTTTATACATATTTAAAGCCGAACATTTCTTTATACATTAAAGAAACCGGAACAAGTCTCATCTAAATTTCTGTCTGTCTTCCTGTCTGTCACGGCCCAAGAGCCATTTTACGCGGCCTTCTCCTGTAAAACGAGAGTACCTATCAAGTTCCAAATCATTTTAATGTATTCACTGGATTGGCGAGATTGTCTTTAGCCATTAAAATATGGCGTCACCAATTTGTAAATAAAATTACGGACGTTTAAAAACCCAATTTTGTGCAATTTTTTGTAAAGTTTTCTCCCAATGTTTATCACATATTCATCTATGAAATAATGAACAGCTGTTCGAATCAAGATTATTTCTTCTAGCTGTCACTGATATGTTTACATTGAATGTTGTTTACAAATACCGTACGGTAACCAATTCCGATCACGTTTTGAAAGCAAATCCAAACCAAGTCAGATTAAAAAAGTTTTTCCTTACATCACGGATTTAATTAATGACAAGAGTGCAATAATTTGTAGGGTAACTGTAAATGAAAATAGAGATTCTTTTTATATAAAATTGTTCTTGAGTTTTGATAACCGGGGAAAAGACCATGAATCAGTGTTGTATATGGCTGGGAAACTTACATTTTTTTAAATGAGCGTTTTCAGTCAAGACTCAGCACACGACCGACTTGTGTCTATATGTCCATAGTAAAAATAAAAGTAAGCCTACCGTGTATTTATGTTTTATTCATCATGTGTATAAGTGTACAGTTTGTGTATGTGTTTAAAAAACTCCAAGCGCACCTAATAGGGAAGCTCAAGACCTTATATTAGGACTGATGATGGCGATTTAATTTCGCTGAAATGCATCTCCTTTAATAGGATACATTAGGATTGACCGACGGACACAGGTTATTTAACCTTTTATTGATTGTCATACCGATCCGGAACAACAACAAACAACATAAAATGAAGTTATGTGTAATAGTTTGGCTAGCATATCTGAAAATATGCAAACCAACTGCTGTTCTTTATACTGTATATAAGAAGGTTTCAACTGAATAGGCTACTATAAGATCCCGGTGCGTAGAACGGGTACACAGCTAGTTTATATTGGTTCTAAAATCATCATAAAATATAATTTTTCAAACAATAAATTTTAAAATTAACCTTCATATTGGAAAATAGTGGTGATTTTTGAAAAAGTGGAATTCATATTTTTGTATGTCACAAGAATATTGTTGAAGTTTCCTATTTATTTAATGTTTTCTCTAAAGCCATAAATAAGTTAGGCCTAATGTCTGAGATAGCAATTAGTGTGGTAGGCCTACAGTTAATTTGATCACCCTGTATTCCTGTAATATTTATTTAAGATGTCATTAAAACAGTTTTTAAATGGCACTCTAAAAAAGCAGTGTGTTCGATATCTAAAGTTTTGTGTCAAGAACCTTTGGAAATAAGTAGGCCTACTCATGAGTTGACGAAGAAAGAAAGAGAAACGGATACGTATATGAGATTGGATGAATAACAAGAACTTAGGGGAGTTGTGGACAATAATTAGAATAAAGAGCTTTATGCTAATGATCCGTAAGAATATAAAGCGGTTTAGACTGAAGATCAGTTTGATAAATTTGTATGTTTATCCCAATTATTACCTGCAATGACACTTTTTATGCGCAAAGCTCTACGCGTTCCCTGGCTCTACTAGCCAAGCTGAAAAGAGAGATAACTTAACACTAAGTTAGTGCACTAGCAAATTTAGCTTCAGGGACAGATTCAAGAATGCTGTCGATGATGAACCGTGTTTTGAAAACATCTATTTCAAAAATAATACCAGATGTAGGCCTATGTGATGTTATCTACTAAACGTTTTTTTTAGTAAAGGTAAATCCTTTACAGTGAACTTTGGCAATATCCATCTCTTCGACTATTCACTCCTCACATCACGACTTCGATACCTAATCTTGGTTAAACATATTCCACAGATTTTTGTGTTCACAATACAGCTGGATAAATGTTTGAGGGAGGGGGAAAGGGGTTAGGGCTGATGACTCACCCTGCCAGGTATTCAGTGGTGGCAAATGACACAAATCCTAGAGTGGTGGCAAATATCACTTGGTGGCAAATAACACAGTATTCGCTGATTCGGGTGTTCCCTTAGCTCTGAAGAATTCCTAGAACCGCACTTATATCCTAGAAACAATTTTTTACAATAATGCAGGCCGACTTAACCAAATATAAACGTAATACAAAGCCTGTTCCTAATACTAAAGCAAGATTCAATATAGGCCTACACTAACTTAACTGTGTACAGTATCTATCTTACACGTTCTTCTATTATATTCATGAATAGGCCTACTTACCAACAGGAACAGCCGGCAGTAGCAGTAGTTTTAACTCCTGAGTCCTGACCTGAAATAAAATAGCTTAACTTAGTACAAGTATAAGTTTGTTTTTTAAGTTAAAGCACAAGAAAGAACTTCATTCTAGAATACAGAAAATCTAGACCTCTTTCGCTCTTTCTCTTGTTTGTTGACTCTTCTTGTCTTTAGATATTTAGTTTTATTACTCTTCTGAGGTTATGGTTATGTTAAGTTAGGCTACTTCAGTTCTTTGTTTATAGTTCTCTTCTCTCCGATATTTCCCGCGTTTCCCGCCATGCCCAAAACGGCACAAGGAAGATTTCTCAGGTGCCGTTTGACGTCACTTTGATGGAACACCATTACCGCAACGATACAGTTCTGAGCCATCGGCCTCGGTGGTGTAGTGAATAGCGTGTCGGGCTGAAAATCCGAATGTACCGGGTTCGAACTTCGAATCCCGCTGGTAGCACTTACTTTTTGTCAACAATTTTTTTCATATCAGCAAGTTTGGTTGGTTTTGTTAGGTTATGACAGTTTAGTTTTATAATTAAAAAATTATAAAATTGAATTTTAGGCATTTATAATATTTTATTTTATGAACAAAACTATTTTTTAGATTAGTAAACCTTCATTCGATTTTTTCATTATCAGCACGTTTGGTTAGGTTATGGCAGTTTAATAATAATAGAAAAATTATAAAACTGTCTGTTTCTTCAGACGCAGCAGTTCTTAGTTACATCAGCCGCTAGTGACATCAAACGGCACCTGAGAAATCTTCCGTGTGCCCCACCTCCGCCATGCCATTGTTTTCTTCTACCAGTACCAAAGGTGGGCAGATTTTCCCATCCTTGTTAGTCAGTCGTGACGTCATCGTTGATGCGATGCAGTTATCGTACTGGTATCGCATAGCTCCACAAGTCAATAGTCGATATCGAATACCCCTAATTTACTTTACTTGAGAATCGCTGAAACGAAACGCTTCCATCTTCTTTCTCGAATCTTGCTTGGTTAGGTTCAGGACTCTAGATTCTCGTTCTTTGGTTCTTTCTTTGTTTTTGTTTGGTTGGATTGCATGTAATGTCGACAAGCGTAACGAAAGAAAAGTTGTTAATCGTGTTTTCAGATATAACTCACTAGTTTAATTTTTAATTTATACCCGTACTTAACTTACGAGAAGTTGTTTTCTGGATAGGCCCAGGCCTAGTTTAACTTAAATTATACATTTTTATAATTATATGACTTAAGTATTAACTTAGGCCTAGGCCTATTAGAGGATTTTAAATGGAGGCAACAGAAGATAATAATGATGGTGATCAAGTGGAATCGAAATTACACTTTGTTAATACATACGACCAATTTTCTATTAAAATTGCAAGAAACCGAAGTATCTACGTATAGCAAATTTGTTTGCAGGCGTGCTTGTAAGCAGGATTTTGGCCATAACCTGTATAATACTATAATAGCTTCAAGTTCTTGTTTATCTTTTACTTGGTCACAAGCCAAGTCCAACTTGGTTATAAGCTCCTTATTACCGATAATACAATTAGATTTGCATATGAGCGGTAAATTTAATTTACAGACCGTTCTATAACTTTAGTTTAAAAGCGTTTTCTACTGTGACTATCACAATCATACTTCATATTCATAGATTGTAGAGAAACAACCTAAACCTACATTAATAACAACCTACAACCATAACCATCAACCATGATGTTATGTTAACGAATTCGACGCGAATAACGATCAAATATCGATAGACGATATTTAGAACTACATCGACTTCCCGAATCGATCGAATCAACGTGACGTCACGACTGACTAACAAGGATGGGAAAATCTGCTCACCAGTACCAAAGCTCTTTTTTTTCCTTGTCGAAAAGGTGGTCTGGGAATTTTTGCCAATGAGACTTCAATGTTCTCTGTGGTTATCCATTAGTAAACACAATTTTATTTTCCAGATAATTCAATGGTGAATAGATTTTTGTTAGTAAGAAACATAGATGTGGTATATCGTGGTGCATGTTGTTTTTGTTAATTAAAAGTAGGATTCGGGATTATAAAGATTTGATGGATTTCATTAAATGGAAGGTTAAGGTGACACTTCTCTGCTTGGGGTCGATCTGGAACACCGGGTAGATAGGAGATGTGGGATAAAAAGCGCGCCGTTTCGGTAACCTTCCTCCACCACTATGGGGGACCCAACGCAGATATGTCAGTTCCTCAAGCCGTGCACGCGGTTGTTAATACGCTCCTGGCCGTTCATACAAAAGGTTGACTGCAGTTAAAGTTATATATTCGGAATCTGCATTAACTGCAGAATCTGACAGTATAAATATAATCTTATTTAAATCGTAATTCGAATTTTAACAACTAAAAATATTAAACAAATATCACACCTTGACATGAAAAAGTTACTAAGCGAGGATTATTTTAATTTTTTGGTCAGAAGCAAACTTCAAGCGACAAAATTGTAGCTAATGCAATTTCAAATAAAATTTTCTAGTCGTGTGTAATGGAGTAATTAGTAACGCAAAGAGGTTCTTTATAAATCGCGCCGCGGGCCGTCCTCCCTGGTTCCGCTGATCTTTTCGTTTACGGTACTCCCAGAAACGTTTTGAGTACAACCAATAGTTATATTAAATACATTTTTAATACAGGTAACACATAACTAAATACTGTATTACCACCTTCTAGGTAAAATATTTACATACAATGTTACCATAAATTAAAATATAAAATGTAGACTATAGATGCAGGAACAGGGACTGGTAATCCTCCTTTGTTTAAATGTAACAAGAAATCGTGTATTATCTGCTTTGTTCAGTAATTAATGAGAAATTTCAAATATTAAGGCCCAGATCAAATAATTGATAAGGTCATAAATACTAAACCTAGGAAGTATTTTTCAATAGCAAAAATTTAATAATAAATTAACAAATCCAATTGTTAGTCGTGTTCCTTTGACAATATGAGTATTTGTATAATGCTGTAAACACACGATTAGTAGTAAACAGTGTTTTGAGTGTCATTGTTATACTGTATATGTTTTAAAATTCATATCATCACACATAAGATAAAAGGGTTTGGTTAATAATACTAAACAGTACTTTTAAGAATATGTTTTACTGTCCACAATCGTGCTTAAATATAGTACAGGTTGCATTACATGTTGTGAAACAAAACGAATTTCTTCAATCAAATTCAAATTCGGCCGAAAGTCGAACGCCAGCGTCGGACACTGCCGTTTGCCGTATATGGCTGAAAGCATAGCATCTCATTTTCCCCTTCCAGAAACTGATGAGAACCTTTTCTGCGAAGGAGTGGGGGATTGTGGGAGAGCCCCTCACGTCGATTTAAGAAAATCTTTAAATTTATTTTATAATATTTTAGATAGAAAATTAACTTTTTAATTATTAAATTAAATTTAAAATTTTTAATTATAAAATTAAACCGTCATAACCCAACTCAACCAACCAAACTTGCTGATAATATAAAAAAGATATAAGATAAAAATCAAATGAAGGTTTCCTAATTTAAAAAAAAATAGTTCTGTTCATAGATAAAATTATAAATGCACCAAATTCTAACAAAATACAGTATGTACAGTTAAGTAGTTAAGAAGTATTCGCATTCTAAGCAAAAGCTTGGACAAAAAGTTAGTGTCGCCGGCGGGATTCGAACTGGGGACTTCCAGATCACAAGTCCGAGACGCTATCAACTACGCCACGAACCAAGGCTCCTTCCACGAACACTGATGGAATCATATCGTCTCGTTACGGTAATGGTGTTCCCTCAAGAGCAGAATGACGTCACGCCCCCCACTCCTTCTCTAAAGAGGTTCTCATCAGTTCCTGGAAAGGGGAAAACTAGGCGCTATAGGCTGAAAGCGTCCGTCGTCTGCCGATCTTCCCTACTTTTCATAACATACAAAAAATAAAATTTAGACTCGAACACTTGAGCTATAATTCTAACTGGAGGTAGCACTGAATGTCAAAGATGCGTGTCGCCAGCCGCTATGTTTGCGTGAGGCGGGTGTCATAAGAAGCCATGTTATTTCTATGCCAAGAAAACTCACTGCTATACCAACCTAGTTATAAGAAGCCATGTTATTGCTATGATAAGAAAACCAACTGCTATACCAACCTAACAAAATCAGCGACATGCTTTTGACAGACTTCTGTCATGGCCGTGCTACCTCCAGTTATAATTTTAGCTCAGTGGACTCGAACGATCCCGAGGTTTGGGTTAGAGTTTGTAATTAGTCCATTCGTTCGCCACAAGTGTAAAGACTACAATGAATTTCAATATGGTAGAACGATTTTCAATAAAAATTATTAAAGATTCCCTGGTATAATTGTTTATCTAGCTATATATAAAATATTTGGGGGGGGGTCACGACCCCCCTGACCCCGCCTGGGACCGCCCTTGTTAAATACTGATTATGAAATGAGACTGTTCTAAACTTCACATTGATGGTCCGTAGATCCATGACGTAATAGTTAGTTATAAAATTAAGATAAATTATAAAATTAATTTTTTAATAATAAAATTAAAATGTCATAACCTAACCAAACTAACCAGACTTGATGATAATGAAAAAATCTAATGTTTACTAAATATGTCTATGTTTATTAATCGAAAACATAGTTATGCTCATAAAATACAACTATATAAATGCCTCAAATTCAATTTTGATTTTTTGGTAAATATGCATTTTAGGGTTTGCATTCGATTTTTGATTTTTTTCATTCTACTCTAAATTTAACGCTGATTCCGAAAATGACGTTCTTTTTCCGCGGAAAACGACCATAACGCGGAAAAACGACCAAAAACTATTTTTTATCAAAACACGTCATGTGGGTACTCAAATTAACCGGAATATTATGCAGATCACGAATATGCATATTCGGATCCGACGTCAAATAAGCGAGATTTTCACGAAAATCTGCGACGGTATTTTGGATTTTTGCTCCAACTTTTGTCTGTGTTAAAATACCAGCTGATCAGCTGGTCATTGTTTTATTATAATTGTTTATGTTTTAATTGAACAGTTTAATTTCCTGAATGAAATTAATTGTGTCTTGGTCAGTTTTTAAAGTCTAAAATCTTTTCTTATTTTAATGAACGAAATTTGTGCGGGTTGTGAGTGGAAGTATTTTGACTTTTGGGGTTTCCAGCATGGTGATATAGCTGGTTTTTTTGATCATGGATTAATTCAAGAAGCTATTCAGTGTCCAAAGTGCAAAAACATAGTGCACATTGATCAAAATTTTAGTTTTTATTGCCAGACAAGAGTTTTCTTAAGAAAGCAAAAGAAAGCCCCTTGCGGCTGGAAGGGGTCCGGCAGAGTTGAAAGTTTTTTTGCTAAGACAAATTTAAAACCATTATCATTTTTTCAATTGATTGTCCACTTTTTATTTTTCGATCCGCCTAGACAACCATTTTTGGTCAGAAACTTAGGAGTCCAACACCACACTGTTGTAGATTGGTACAGTTTTATGAGAGAAGTGTACGTGTACCACGTCTCGATAGAATAAGTACTCAGTTGGGTGGCCCGGGTTGCGTGGTAGAAATTGATGAGGCACTTTTTGGTAAAAGAAAATACAATAGAGGCCGTATCCTTAAAGGGCAGTGGGTTTTAGGAGGCCAGCAGCGGGGATCAAACAAGTGTTTTTTGGTGCCTGTTAAAGACAGAACTGCCCGCACCTTGATCAGGCTAATTCGACGGTGGGTTTTACCCGGAACGACAATAGTCACTGACAGCTGGCGAGCGTATGCTACCATCTCGCAGTACCACTTCAACCAACCACCTCACGGTCAATCACTCGAGAAACTTTGTTGACCCGACTACTGGCGCCCACACAAATTCAGTTGAGCGTGGTTGGAGAAAAGCAAAGAGCAAGGATTCCAAAGTACGGCGTAAAAACCGAACACTTTGACGGGTATTTGGCGGAGTTTCTCTTTAAGAAAGCATACCCTGGAAAGGACAGAGTCCACGCCTTCTTCAGAGCAGCTGCAGAGCTCTAACCACCAAAGTATTAAAGGTATTTTCTCTACTTCAGGTAAAAGGGATGATACTAAGCATAAAGTAACCTAACCTAACCTAACCTAACCAAACCTAACCAAACCTAACTTAACCTAACCAAACCTAACCAAACCTAACTTAACCTAACCTAACCTATCCTAACCTAACCTGACCTAACCTAACCAAACCTAACTTAACCTAACCCATCCTAACCTAACCAAACCTAGCCTAACTTAACCTAACTTAACCTAACATATCCTAACCTAACTTAACCTAACCTATCCTAACCTAACCTAACCTAACTTAACCTATCCTATCCTAACCTAACCTAACCTAACAAGCAACATGACAGTGCTACAACAACCAATGAATAGGTTGGTACTGCCAAACAAATTTCCCATACGGTAATCCTCCCGACTAATTACCCATTATTTCCCGTTAAATTACCCATTACACATTAAATTACCCTTTCTCCCACCTAACTTTCCGATGATAAACCACGTTAGATGTCTCACCCACCCAAAACCCCGAATTCCCACCTGCCCCCTAGTGAGTTGAAGTTATTGCTGGTAGTATCACATTTTCGTGAAAATCTTTCGTGAGTACCCACATGACGTGTTTTGATAAAAAAAGGTTTTTGATCGTTTTTGTCGTTTTTCCGCGTTATGGTAGTTTCCGCGGAAAAAGAACGTCATTTTCGGAATCAGCGTTAAATTTCGAGTAGAATGGAAAAAAAAATCAAAAATCGCGTGCAAACCCTAAAATGCATATTAACCTCTCCGGTATTTCCCGCCATGCCGTGTATTAAAAATTATTATTATTTCTCACATAATAATAAAATTAAACTGTCATAACCTCACCAAACCAACCAAACTTGCTGATAATGAAAAATATTAGACAAAAAATTAAAATGACCAGCGAGATTCGAACACGTCACCATCAGATTATCAGTCCGGCACGCTATCCACCAGACCACCGAAGTCGATGTCGTATCACCTTATCGTTGCGGTGATGGTGTTCGAGAGCCAATAGAATTGTGGAAAAAAGTAACTGTTCCCTTTGCATTATTTTGTTGAGCGGAGCGAGCGAAGCTCTTATACATCGACTTTTATGCATTTCGTAATACGCAAACTCCTCCTAGACGGCTGAATCAATCGTTTTCAAATTTTGCATGGTGATAAAGACCATATCGGTGAGTGCCAACATCTATACGGCGTTAAAAAAGCCTCTCAGGAATCCGCCCCACTGGGTCTCAAAAGTTTCAATGTAATCCTTATGGAATCAGTATTTGACACATAAACAAAGACATATGATCAGCTGTTGAATTTTGAATGCAGTAGAATAGCTGATAGCATTATTCCACAGATATTAGAACATAAACGGTGGTATGGATCAAATATAATCAAGTGACGACACTAGCTTGAGGTCAGTGACGTAGGAAGTGGCGAAGGAAGTAGTCAAGGTGAGCAGTCTAGAGTGTGGAAACTGTTTAAGACGATTAGATTTAGGTAGGTATCTGCATTCCTAAAATTCTATGGGAAGGGAGGAAAACGGGTCCGTGACGTAGGAAGTGGTGAAGGAAGTAGTCAAGACGAGCTGCCTGGAGTGTGGGAACTGTTTATGACGATTAGATTAAGGTATCTGCATTCCTAAAATTCTATGGGAAGGGACGAAAACAGGTCCGTGACGTAGGAAGTGGTGAAGGAAGTAGTCAAGGTGAGCTGTCCGGAGTGTGGGAACTGTTTATGACAATTAGATTAAGGTATCTGCAATCCTAAAATGCTATTGGAAGGGAAGGAAACAGGTCCGCGACGGGGGAAGTGGTGAAGGAAGTAGTAAAGGCGAGCTGTTCGGGGTATGGGATTTGTTTATGACCATTAGATTAAGGTATTTGCAATCCTAAAATGCTATGGGAAGGGAGGAAAACAGGTCCGTGACGTAGGAAGTGATGAAAAAAGCAGTAAAGGCGAGTTTTTCGGAGTGTGGGAACTGTTTATGACGATTAGATTATGGTATCTTGGTATCTACAATCTTAAAATTCTACGGGAAGAGAGGGAAACATGTCTGCGACGTAAGAAGAGGTGAAGGAAGTAGTAAGGTGAGCAGTGTGGAGTTTGGGAACTGGAAACTGTTTGTAGCAGTTAGATTAATGTATCTGCAATGCTGAAATGCTATGATAAGGGATGGAAGCATGCCCATGACATAGAAAATTGTGAAAGAAGTAGTAAAGGCTAATAGTGCGGAGTGTGGGCAATGTTTGTGGCAATTAGATTAACGTATCTAAATTCCTAAAATGCTATGGAAAGTGATGAAAACAGGTCCACGATGTAGGAAGTGGCTTAGGAAGTAGGTATAAACACATGTTGAGAACCGTCTGTGGCAGTTAGATTAATGTATCTTCAATCATAAAATGCTATGAGAAGGGAAGGAAACATCCCCCACGACGTAGGAAGTAGTAAAGGCTGGCAGTGCAGAGTGAGGGAACCGTTTGGGCAGTTAGATAAATGTATCTAATACTTAAATGCTGTGAGAAGGGAAGGAAACATGTCTATTACGTAGGAATTAAATGGTGAAGGAATTAGTAAGGCTTGCAGTGCAGAGTGTGGGAACTGTCTTTGGCAATTACATTAATGTATCTGCAATCCTAAAATGCTATGGTAAGAGACGGAAACAGGTCCACGACGTAGGGGGTGGTGAAGGAAGTAGTAAAGGTGGGCAGTGTTGAGTGTGGGAATGGATTAATGTATCTGCAATGCTAAAATGCTATGGGAAGAGACTGTAGACTGTAGGTTAAAATGATTATGAAGCACGAATCGATACATAATTCGATACGTATTCAATCGTTTACAATAGAAATTTACAACTGAGTTGACAACAGCTGAGTTTTACTCCATAGAGGCTAAAAACGAATTTTATTCCCTAAAGAGTAAAAATGCTACTTTAGACCCGCAACGCATGCATCAATGACGACTGTTTTCACTGCAGTATGACAAAAACAATATAATATGAACCATTGATGACTCCGCTCAATTTTGTGGATGCTTCTGCGAACGCCACCTAGTAATACTGGAACACTGGAACTGCAACGAGAATGGGTTGTGGCGTCATTTTGACGTGCGAATAGTCACTTCACTTTGTAAGGAAATGTGGGTAATTTTTGCTAAAAGTGGGTATTTTCTTCAGGTTGGGTGGGGGAATTGGCAAAACTGGAACTGGAACTGGACTGGGCCAGGACCAACAACAACCACAGTCCGACAGTCAGTCCACAACACCACAGTCCACAGTCCACAACCCTGAACCCTGCAACTAACGTCGTAATGGCGGGCGTATTCCCTGTACCTGTCAAAACAACTGGCAGAAAACAATGGACAATATACAGTAAGTAATCTACGAGTTAACTTTTAGACAAAATTATTTAATAACTTGATAATATACGTGCTCTGTTTGTTTATGTGTCAGGGTGGTTAACCCTGTTTTTGTTACATCTTCGTGAAACCAAGAGGTTATCTTGTGTTAGTGATGCTACAAAACATAACCTCTTGTAATTGTTTAACATTGTAAGTTTAAATCGATTTTAGGCTAGAACTCATCAAAGTGAATTATTGGCTGCTATTGTCAAACATAGCTTTATCTCTTATCTATGATAGAATTGTCATAAAACTTGTCTTATCAAAACTCAACATAATTTTCCTGTCTGGGTGACTTGATACAACAGTGGAGTGGCTGCACTTTACTTTAGGTCCTACACTCATTCGAATGAAAATATCGATCGACATATCGATTAATCGATTGTGTCATTTGATATATCGTTTGGGTAGTTAGGTAAGGTTAACCTAACCTAACTAACCAACCGATAACTTATATCGAATGAAACAATCGAATAATCGATATTTTCATTCGAATGAGTGTAGGACCTAAAGTAAAGTGCAGCCCAATGAATAAATGTGTTTAAGAAGCCCTGTATATAAGTTAGTGTATATAATGAACAATTTATTTAACTTACTTTAAAGCTGGCAGTTCTTAAATTTTTTAGAAAGAAACATTTTTTAAATTTATACCTCTTTTTCAAGTATAACTGCAACAACGTGAAAAATTGCGACATTTCACTAAGAAGAAGAAAGTTTAAAATAAGTACCGGTAATTAAAATTTTGGTTAACTTATTATTTTGTTTGAACACACCACTCTTCTAACTTAGTTTATGTTACGTACTTAACAGTGGCGTAACAGAAGGGCCCCCAATGCGGGGGGCCCGGGAGCCGAGTGGGCCCGTGAACCCCGGTGAGCGGAAACCGGCGAGCAGACAGGCCCGGGAAACTAGTGGAGCTGAATAATTGGAGTTCATTCTTATTGAATTTGATTATTAATCATTTAATAAGTTAACTTAATTGTACTAAACAAGTAATAACCTTAATGTTGTTAATATGTTGCCATCGTTTAATTATGTTAGGCATAGCCTATTCAGTGAAAATGAACTAAGGTAACAAATTCAACATTTAACTTAAGGTTAACAACATTTTAAAACAGTTCGTTGAACTAGCAGAGGACGAACGCCTATCGGATCCTTATTTCAAAACAGTTGTGTTTCATAGAACTTTAGATTCTGTACTACCTAAATCAAATGACTCAAATATTTGAGGAGATGAACAATGTAAGTAAATTTAGTATGTTTTCTGTTCTCATCCCAGAGTTTTTATCGTTGTCTACAGACGAACAGTTAAGTGTTAAATCAACAGAACTAGCTGCTGAATATAACGAGGATTTCACTTTAGATTTTTCTCACTAAATGCTCACTTTTCAAAGGAACTTGAAAGCAGAAATCTTTAGAAATATATTAGTAAAAGTAATTTGTGAACTTTTGTTAATTAACTACCTACTATTCTGTCGCTTGCAGCGTTCCAGATTGTAGGACTATGCACCACAGAATACACCATGTTTTTAACATTGCCCGTAAATGCAAAAATCAGCTGAAAGGTCGTTTTCGAGGTTAAAGTTGATTTAACACTACCTTCGAATTACCATGTCTCAAGAAAAGCTTAGTGGGCTAAGTATACTAATATAAAGAGTAAAGCATCAAGATCGATTGATTTTATAGTGGTCATAAAAGCGTTTGCTTCACAAAATTCAGTAAGGGAGCAAATTCAAGTGAAGAACATTTTGAATGGTTCCTATTTGTAAATTGTAAGTTAAGCTAATTAGGTCTAAGAAGTTATCAATTTTTAAAGTATATTATTTACAATTTTCTATAAGCAAATAATTATTTTACATTTTAGTTTTTCCCTATAATATTAATTGTGTTTTGTTAAATACAATATTGTGCTAATCTACTGACTTTGTGTGTTAGCCTTTTTCTTGTTTTACCTCACAATTAATTCATCAATGCAAAAGACATATGTTATGTTGGTCAACGATTGAAATCCACACAAAGATAAAAAACAAAATGTAATATTTTAGCCTTTGATAAAAGTAGGTACCTACGTAATTTTTATAGCTAACCAACTTTTTGTGTATTAGTTTATAACAATTGATAAAAACTAACCAAATAAATCATTTATAAAAGGTGTTATAAATTAAGTATCAAACGTCCTTTAGGCCTATATAAAACATTATGATACGGATTAAAAAATAAGGTACCTTTATTTTATTTTAAAACTATTTACTTAGGCCCTACAACCACTGATATTGATATAATGATCTAGTGATATGTAACTTTATCATCAAACCATGACTGAAATACTTAACACGTCCTTTTATGAAACATTACCCATAATTTATTTACTACTCAATTTATGATAAAAACTACTGTTTGATCATTGTATCGGTGATCAAAAAAACACAGGGAGTGAGGGGGGAGGGTGATTGAGTTTGTTGTATCGGTGGTCTAAAATAACTCATGGGAGGGGGCCCGAAAAATAAGTTTGCAGGGGGGCCCAAAAAAATCTGTTACGCCATTGGTACTTAAGGTAGGCCTAAGTAATACTGTTTTTGGTCCAATATTTTTTTTACAGATTTCTTTATAGCTTTAGGCCTACTAACAAACCCCGCGTTTTGGTTTATAATTTTATTAATAACTTCAGTAATAATTGTGCTAAAAATATGTCAAAAATATCAAAAGATTTAGAAGAAAAAGATGGACTCAAATCACTCCTTTAAAAAGCCTAATTACATTGACTTTAATAAGCAAGTATTACATTGAAATCGCATACTTGCAGGGGTGACTTGAACCGGCAATATTTTATATACAGTTTTAGGTCTTCCTCATCTTGCTAAAAATCGCCTAAATGCTTAAAGAAAAGCTTGTGTTGAAGGATAAGCTACAAGTTCAAGGTATACTGCTCTATAATTGGAACAGTAAACAAACATATCCTGGCCTCTTCGTTATTTGTCAGGAATAAAAGCCCTGCAATATTCACACCTGTCACCTCAAAAACTGTTGATTTACGCCACAGCCACCTCTAATACAAGGCCGCGACGTTCGAACTGGCAACGCCGCACTCATCCGCCGCCTGGGTCCGGCACCCGTGCTAGGCTATAAACACCAATGAGAGTATTGCTGCTCTGTATCAATGAATGAAAGTATTTAAAAAATTACATATTTTAGTGGATTTTAGGGTATGGTAAAATAGACAAATTAGAATCTAGGTTGTTTATTTAGGGAAAAATTGCAACATACCACAATATGTCTAAAACTAAAGATACAAACATAATGTTTTTGGTTGCATTTATCATATTGTAAGTACGATGAATGTGGAAATAGGTGGACTTTACATATTTACTTTGTTAATTTGATAATCTATACTATTAAATAACAATCTCATAGTGTCTGTATTATGTCTGTTATTGAACATAGTAAAAACTGCTAGACAGACAGGGCTTAAATTTTACAAAATATAACTACTATACCAAGAATGGTAAAACAGTAGTAGGACTTACTTATTGCCACTTCAATATATTTCTAGAGACTTTGGGATTTGTTGAGACTAGCATCTAACAATTTGTTCAAATAAAATTAATTTTCAATTTTCAATAGGAATATTGTGTTTTAGTCCACCTGAGGAAATCATAAGTTAGCGACAGCAAAATTTGAAATTTTCATTTTGAAGGCATACTTAGGCCTACTAAATAATTGATTTCTTCGAATAGTTACTAAGTAAAAAGTTTGCCATTTTTTAAACGATTTCAGAATCCAAGCCTCCATTATGGCTTTCCACAATATTAATAGAATTTTTTTCACATCAACATTCAGACTGGAGTCGGAGACTGATGCTTTTATTGTTTGTTAGATGATGCAGTAGGCTACATATTTTTGACTAGTATGCCTACTTAACAGAAACACTGGTTTATTTCTTTGGAGTGCTATTAATTTAAGTTATTTTAATCACTTAACAGCAGCTTTTATCAATAAGATAGACAAATAAATAAGGAAATAGTACGGCATTCTCACCTAAAAATCACTTCTCGCGTCTATATTTACACGAATCAATTTCTTATTCTTAAATTTTTTTTTCAAATCTAAGTTCATATTTGTGAAAATGTTTCACACAAAAACGAGAATTGTTTTATGATGTCTAATTTGACCGAAGAATGGCAGGAAGCCATTGTTGCTGATGCGGTGGATTGCTTAGAATCTTAGAACACTGTATGTATTATTCATTTTTAATTGAGCTTTCGTAATTATTCTTGCATCCATTCACATCACATCTATCTGACATGCTGTAGTAACAAGCTCAATGTCATTACTAATGATTAAGGGTAGTAGAAACGCGATTATTTAAGTCGGTACGCGACTTTTCCATTCACTGTAATGGTAAGACGACCGCGCATCAAGACACGGATGCGACGTTGCCACGTTTCGCTCGCCGCGGTCTTGTATTAGAGGTGGCTGTGTTTACGCACACGAGCAGGAAGCCCCATGAGAATCGCCTCAAAGCTTTTACCTCTTTTTTTCTTGCACACAACACATTTGTACATAAATTGATCTTATTGATCTCCTACCTCCAAGTATTAACTTCTCTCTTAAATTGTTCAATAACCTAATATTTGAATGCCCCTCCCCCCCTTTGACAATATTGTTATTGTGATAGGCCTAATCCATTATCAAAGCTTCAACAACTTGATGCTTTGGGGCTAAGCCCAACACAATAGGGAATTTAAAACCAAAACTAACTTATCTTCTTTGTCACTGACTTTGGTTTTCAACCGTTTTAACCCATTATCACCACTAAAGGATATAGCACAGAGAGAGATTTGTTCTTAACACCATCAACAAACATTTCACATAGCACAGTTTTCAAAAGTCATAACTCAGCGCTATCTAATTCTTGCACAGTTAGGCTATATCTCCTAATGATCAAAGTTCTTTCTTCAATTGGAAATTCCT